CCCCCCCCCCACCCCCCACTGTATCTACCCCCCACCCATGCACCTTTTCCTCCTTTTGTCACCTTCTTCTTTTTTTGACTATTAAGCTGAGAGCTGATGTAACAAATTTCTCCACTGTGAGATCAATAAAGTCAATCAATAGTGGATCTTACAGATCACTCCAGAGCCAGACAAGCAGTGAATGCAAAAGAAAAATTAGTCATAAATCAGTCATACTAATAGGTTCTGATAAGGTTGGCTTTACTTTTGTGAAAGAAAATCCTTTTTTACGTACCACAAAAACAAGAATACCTACAAAGATCAGGGTAAACAGGCACACCAGTGTTATCCTTAATTTTGGGAAGTAGCTCCAATTTCCTGCTGAAGATAAAAGATTTTATTTTCGCCTTTCAGCTCATCACATCACATGAGTTTATCTGTATTTCATAAACCAGACACTTCAAAATATAACAATAGTTTCTGTTAGGATATATTATTACCTTGAACAGTAATGAGGTGGAAATATTTGGTTGTTTTGCCCACAGCGTTCGTGGCTGTGCAGCTGTAGACTCCTGGGAGTTGAGATTCCAGAGTTAAAACTGGGCCTGTCTCATTTTTCTCCTGGATTCCCTCCTGAGTTGTGCCTGTAAACGTCCAGCTGTAAACTGGGGTAGGGTTTCCTATAGCTGTGCAGTTTAATGATGATTTTGAACTAGTGCAAATGCTCAGCATCTCACTTTGAGGCTTAATGAAACATGGAGGATCTGATGATAAGCATGAAATCATAGAAAGAAGGAGAGGGAAAAAATAAAATGTTAATGGACAATCAGCTTGAAATTAAAATCCTTTCATTTACAAATCAAGAGATCGTTCAAACCTACAAAAAACTGTCAATACGTGCGCCTCTGATCGCTTCGGTGGAGGACTTTGCTCTTCTGGAACAAACTTTAGCCTGGCTTCACACCAGACCTCTTCTCCATTATCCTCTACAGCAACCTTTAGTGTTGTGGTAAAGGTTTCATCGAAAGGTGAACGATCTTGACGTGTAGATTTCTGTTCATGGATTATCTTGTTTCCTTTGTACCACCTTATGACAAGACTGTTTGCTGGTGCAACATCTTTAATGTCACACTGTAGATCATAGCTAGAAGTGGCTCTCATAGGGTCTTTGGGCTTAGACATGGATACTTTGTCTGGCATTTCTGAAGCAGAAAGTGATAAACAAAACAAAAACCTAATTAGAAAACTCATTAATTAATTCTGAAATGTAAATATAGAGTATGATTGGCTTTTTTGTAAATGTCATAAAAGCAACTTACTGTAAACAGTGAATGGTAGCTTTTGAATGTCCTGTTCATCATTCAGAAACGAAACAAAACACTTGGGTTCTACATTCCAGTCCGTAACTTTATCAAAGGTAGTATTCAAAGTAGATATACCCTCTTTAAGTCCTGTTCCTCCAAATGAAGACTCCCATCCCATCCCGGCCACATCGTTGCACTGGGATATGTAGCAGCTGGCTGCAGCAGAACCTCCATATTCAACAAAAACCTTTGGAGGATTGAACTTAATTTCACAGGACCGTGCAGACTTTCCTACAGGGACACATTGGACATAAACTAGGTAAATGTTTACTGCACACATATTAACTTAAAGCAGACATGTTAATACTCTGATCTAGTCCATAAAACATAATTACACTATAGTTAAAGCAGATAAATCACCCAATAGTTTTTCTCATTAGTTACTTTTTTTTCTTTGGAGATGAAATTGGTCCATGAATTAAGTCATACACAATGACATAGAATGGTACAGACAAAATGATATTTTATTTCTAAATGCTGCTATGTGCAAATCAATATAAGATGGTTTAATATTAAGAAATTTGTTATAAAGATATTACATAGAGTGGTATTACCGCTCTGGAAAGTGAAGAGAACAATTTTAAAAAGTCCTACTGCTTTTAAACCCTAATGAAACTGTTGATGTCTGTTATTTTAAATGTCATCTGGAGGCGCATAAAGCATAAAACAGCAGCAGCCAGTTGTTCATATTTATCCTAAATCTGCCCTTTATGTCCCATTCTATTCCTATGTAAATACAGCTAATGTCTTCTAATTAGCTGCAATGACCACAATGCACCAACATGGCACAGGACTCCTCAGCTAGAGAAAAGGCTGATGTTTAATTTATAATTGGGTTCTGATTTTTAAAGATTTCAAAATAGGCACTGAATTGTTTGCACACAAAAAAATGCACATGCACTAAGTGGGCATGTCATGGGTGTTGAATCATGTTTAAATGAGCAAATGATAACAGGCGCAAAGCCAGTTGAGAATATAACTAAAATACAAACTACTTAATTAAAACCAAAGGGAAATTAAATGTTATTTTTACTTATAGAGTTTGTTTAAAAAAGCTGTTGTAGATGTTAAAAAATATTTAAAAATTTAATAATTGAATTCAAAATTAATAGTTAGAAGACGCCTTTCAAATTGGATTTCTAATTGTCTGATCCAAATGTTAAATTTGAAATAGCTGTTTTTCTTTTTCAGTTGCTCTCCAAGGCAAGTTTATTTGTAGCACAATTCAGTATAAGGACAATTCAAAGTGCTTTTCAAGAATGAAACAATAAAATAGAAGAAAAATAAAAGCATAATAAATGCAAATGAAGAACACGCAGCTTTGGTGAATAACAGCTGGGGGACTTCTGAA